CTGCAGAGAGTGGCATGTTTCTGAATAATTTTCATTTCAAGGGGTCATATAAGCTCTCCTTCATGCAAATGAGTCAAACTCTCAAAGGTAATAATCACCTGAAGCCCCCCTCCCACTCCCACACAAACATACACACACCCCAGGTGGCTCAATATTGCTTAGCCAACATGAATAAATAATTAAATGAAATCTAATTTTTTTCTATTTCATTTCCACAGCCGCTGAATCCAATTCCGCCTCCACCCTCTGAGAACGACACCCGGGTGACCCTCAGGTGCAATTACCTCCATTCAAGATGCTACGCAGAGACTCACTTCTAAGTGAAATGATTCATGCGGTGGGTGTGATGTCCCAGAGCCAGTGAAAATATTTACTGAGAGACAAATGAACAGAAGTTAATGCAGACAGATCTCAGAAACAGCAAATAACTTTTCTCAGTTATGTCTCTATGGCCTTTTTTCCAGATTTAGCCCCGAAGGTTTAGGAAGAAATACTTTTATTTGTATTGTTGCTCATCTCTGCTCATTTTCTCTGCATCTGAAAGTATTTTTGTAAATAGAGAAGAAAGCTCAAAATATCCTCCGTTCTGCAGCAGAGAGGGTCAGAGATGGTAGGATGTTTGCCTCCTATTTTACATAAGTTTTCAAATTATGGCCGACATTAAAAGTAATTTTTTTTGTGCTGCATTCTAGCTCTGCAGCTTATCTATGTCTAAAAAAAAGAAAAGAAAAAAGTCCTTCCTATAAGGGGATCCAAGCCCTTATTGTCAATCTCTTTTGCTTTAATCTCATACATTAAAAGTTGGACAAACTAGGCCTTCTGTTGCTAATACGAAAAAAGAGTTAAGCAATACAATTCTTATAAAAATCAAAGACATCCCAATGAGATGCTGGATTATCGATCTGAAGCTCAGGTCTGGGTTGTCAGACTTTGTTTCTGCTTTTATATTTCTTTATCTGAATTCTGGTTAATGTTAATTTCTTGGATATAAGGATGAATTGTTTATGGTTTTGACATTCAAGCGGGTTTTCTCCCAGGTTTGCCACCTATTTAAAGTCGTAGGAAATCGGCTGCTCCAACCGTTGCATTTCCAAATTCTCCTGAGTGGTGCACAACTTTACACGAGTGAATAAAGTGAATGTGATTGGTCGTTTATCAAGAGGGCGGGATTGTTGTTGTGGTGGAAGGTTCACAAGCAAGTTTGGTTGTGGCCGGTGTCTCTAAAGCATCTTGCTAACCAATACTTTCCACTCAATTCTTTCCACTAATTGAAATGTCTTTAAAAACACATTAACATTAATTCAACAGACTATAGTACACAGATAAACGGAGGCAGAATTTGTCTTTCAGTTATCAATGCACATATTCAGCGACACACATGAGCTCTTTCAAGCTGGGCACCGTTTCATTCACAACACCTGTCCCATCAACCAGGAATCAGAATCAGAAATACTTTAATAATCCCAGGGAGAAAATACTTTCATAACAGGACTCCATATGTAATAGAGTGACTATAGGACCAGTTTGATAGATAAGTTCATACAATATATATAAAATTAGTGGTCCCCGCTCCATCTCGCCATCAGTTTTGGGGTACTTGATCTGGAAAACATTGAAGACCCCTGTGCTAGTAGGTTCCCAATGGAAAATTCCATTGGCACCAAGTAGCACTAAATTGGTGCCTTAGAAGCGACACTGTCAAGGAACGCTATGGATAGCGGAAACATGCAAGAGGAGGGGAGTTTTGCGTTGGAGGTCCTCCATCATACTTTTTTTTTTAGAGGAGTAAAGTGGGGACGAAGATGCTGTGGAAGAGGATGCCAGGGTGGTAGAAGCTTGGTTTGGTGTAGAAGGCTTACAGCCGTACATGTTTGAGCCCCTGTTCTGTTAGCTCTACGCCTGCCGAAGACACATACATCCATCCCCGTGAACAAGACAATATATTATTTAAAATTGACATTTTCTAAATTTTGGGACAGTATCGTTTGATAAAGAGTACAGTTATATAAATGTTTAACCCAGAATGATTTGACATTTAAAAAATATGATTTCCCTAACAACTTTGTTCCATTCATCCACCCATCAACACTAAACTGCTTCAGTGTCCCCTGAAGAGAAAAATAATCACCAGCTTTTTCATGCAGCCACTATTACTGGATTTAATGGTGGAGCTGGTGTGTTGATGTTTGGTGTTAGTTTTCCTCTATATGCATAAAATATCCTTCCACAAGTTAAGGTTAAGCAAAAATCTGGAAGTCTTATCAGGTTCACCTGAACCACCTTTGATGTCCCTCGTTGAGTTCCAGCCAATCACTCAGTTGGGGCCGCACCGTCTCCGAAGTCAATTATCTTGCAAGATCCCCTTCATTTAGCTCCTGGCCTAGCTTCTCTCTCCCTCACGCAAGCGAATTTTCACCCACCTCCACCCATATTTTCTCTCCCCCTCTGGCTTATTCCATCATCAGTGTCCAGAGCCCCGGGGGAAGACTACACTAATACTTTTCCAGGTTACTCATCCAAGCGGAAGCTGATTTGTACAGTCAAAGTTTTATGTCGGGGCCTAAGCGCTAAAGAACTTACTGTATTTGGTTTATGTCTTTATCTGCTTCTATCTTCTAGAACCCTAGTTGGCCTCACACTGAGCCTGTTTTTTTTTTCTGAGTTTTTTCAGCACTAGAGGCTCATTATTATGGACAGTCGGCTGACAGGAATGGGGGTATGAGAGAGGGGCAGAGACATGCGGGAAAAGGAAAACCGGATTCGTAACCAGGTCACCCGTGTTGAGGACTAAGGCCTCCAAACATGGGTCATGTGCGCCAACCACTGCGCCACCAAAGCACCAAACCACACTGAGCCTGGTTCTGCTAGAGGTTTGTTCCTGTTAAAGGGGAGCTTTCCTCTCCACTGTCGCTCCATGCATGTTCGGTGTGAGGGATTGCAGTCAATGAGTCCTTGCGATCAGCTGGGTTTTCCTTAGATAGAAATATTTTGGAGAATATGGTTGTGTTACCTGTATAAATAAATGTAATACTTCTCTAACTGCAGCTGTTCTCTCTGTGTCTCTCCAGGTTGAAATACCTTCTAGTTATTTCCCTTTTAGGTAACAGGCATGTTCTTTCGAGTAAATCTAAAACGCATAGATACTAACACGTTGCCAAGACTAAAGATAACCCAGGAAGACTAAGCTGAAGGAATTTAAATAAAGCAAAACTGTAGAAATGACTAATATAAGCCTGAGATGCATATGCCAGGCTTTAGTTTCCCTTCTATTGGTGGCCTGGAAGAATATTTCAACTGCCTTCAATAATGTACCCAAATCTTCCCATTGACAATCGATGCATCATAGTTAATGTAATTTGTCCCAGGAAGGGCTTTCAGGCATGCTAAAGAGATGCCGTTATTGATTCAAATGCAAAAACTGGGCTGTTATTAGCAGACGGATCGACGATCGGTCACAAAGCTGAGCTCATATCAGCTGCTCAAAGTTATTTATGAAGAAAGGGGGAGATCTGACTCTCGTTTGAATGCGCTGTTTCTCTGTGTTCTGAAAGATGCACATGCCGCTCTTTTTTAACTGATCAAGATTAAAGAAAACAAGTTTCTTGATGGGTAAAAAGAAAAACAAAAGAAAGATTACTGCATTTTGACTGCAGTGTAACAGCAACATGCTGTACAGTAAGCAGGTTCTGTAGTTAGAGAAATAGATTCAGCATTCAGCCACAGAACAGAAGATAATGAAGCATCCGTGCCCCTTCCTACCTCCTCCTGTGTGTGTAAGAGCATGTGAAAGTGTGATCCCTGAAGTCAAGCTGCAATTAGGAGGCCTGTCAATGATGTGCGCTATCACAGAGGCTCGGACTGTCACCATCGACCGGTCAGAGCGTCTACAGACTCAGCAAAGGAGGGCATGTGGATGGAGAATCAGTGGAGATGCAGAAGTATACAGATGGTGCAAAATCGACAAAATAACAGCAACTTACAATTGTTTAAAAAAAAAAGAAGAAAAGAAAAAAAACACGGCAGATGATTTCTGTCTTGTGCATCATAGCTCTGTTAAGTTTGAATTTACAGCAGCATTTAAGTCTATATTGGACAGAAGCACTCCCAGTAAAAATCAATAAAACTATTTGAAAGTTAATTCAAAAATCAATGGACACAAAATCAACAGCAATTTTGAGATCTGAGTAATGAATTAAGCTGCCTCTCCCTCCAGCCTTTTAGTTGGCTGTATTTGTTATCAAATCAAAGCTAAGACCCATTTTTTAGTGTTATTGTGAGCTTACAGCCCCCTCCACACTTATTGGCTGCCACAGTAAAGATATGTATGGCAGGACAGAACATTGGGGTTTTACATTTAAAATGTTTTTTTCCAGGGGTTATTAGGAACATCCATCCATTTTTCATCACGCTTTATCTTAGTTTGTCGCGAGGGGTGCTGGTACCCATCTCCAGCTGTCAATGGGTGAGAGGCGGGGTCCACCCTGGACAGGTTGCCAGTCGATCGGGGCAACACAGAGACAAACAGGACAACCATTAACCCACACACTCACACCTAAGGAGAATTTAGAGAAGCCAATTAACCTAAGTGGAGTACCCGGAGAGAACGCACGCATGTACAGGGAAAACATGCTAACTCCATGCAAACTTCCCTTCTTGCTGCAAGGCAGCAGTGCTTCCCACTGTGCCACTGAGCAGTGTTATTAGGAACATTGACTGATTGACACAAAAAGGCAACCTTTGAAAAGATAATGTAAATCCCTTTATTGTCTTAAATAGGGGAAATTTGTTCTCTGCATTTTGACCCATCCCCTTGGGGAGCAGTGGGCTGCCACTGTGCGGCGCCCGGGGAGCCATCATGAGTTAAGGGTTTTGCTCAGACACCCAGAGTGGAGGCTGTGGGGATCAAACCGGGTACTTGCAACCTTCTCAGAGCACAAGCGCACTGCTCTAACCACTAGGCCAACACTGCCATTATAGTGTTGCTATTATGATTTTATGATTGTAACCTCACCTATTCTGTTTCAATTATTTCATGTCATGTAATGGTTAAAGAAAATCAACCAGGTTAGTAAAAAAATAAAATAAAAAGAAAACAGATTTGTCAACATATAAAACTTTGACATTAACCAAAATTTCCACTTTGATTCAGATATTCCACTTTAATGCTGATATGCATTACACTTCCATCTTTACAGTTACTAGAACACCCATACTTAGATATTTACACTAGACAAATATTTAAACACTGTCATTCCACTGGCTCCCCTTTGTCTCACAGGAGGATGCTGTATTTAAGAGCTCGGGGAACCCTGTTGATGACCAGGCGTCCATCATAGCTGAGTGATGCAAACAGCCAGGGGTCAGCTGATGACCACTCTGCTGCGTACACGCTGTCCTCATGCTCCTCGTAGGTCGACACCACATTGTCTTTCAGAGGCTCCTTACTCCTGAAAGATAAAAATAAATCACAAAAAATATCAGAATGCTTCTTGAGTTTTTAGGTGTTGAAAATGTAATTTTACAGATAGCATTTTTGATAGATCTACAGTATTAGTAACCAGTAACAAAGTAAGTCCCAAGACCATCAATACCAAGCCAAAGGAGCAGAGGATTTATTTGAATTTATTTCGTTTTTTTTTTTTTACATAACTTTTAGAAGTGAAATTACATAATTAAACATTTATTTCTGGTTTTACTAAATTAAAAACCAAGATCTTGGCCAGTGCTGACACATTTCTACTGCCCCTACAATACTGGAACAATAAATAACCATTCAGAAATATGATCCAGCATCATTGCCAGCTCAAATTCCTCTCTAGCCCCCAGGCTGTAAGTGTTCCTGAGGGAAAAACAATGATTTAAACATTTGGATTTATTTTACACATTTACGTTGCTTTCGCTCTGACAGTAGCTGCTCCCTTTGGACGGCAGCCTAAAATAAAACGGCTCTTAAATGTGTCACTTGTATACGTTTAGTGGGAAAGAACGGAAAGAGAGAGCACAAGTGGGAGCCCTAGAGTGATCCCAGCAAATACTGGGCTTGGTCTCAGTGACACCGGGGATTGAGGGATTTTAGGGATAATGTCACTGAGCAGTTTAACCACAGCAAACTGCCATACATCACATGACAGGGTTCACATATTTAGTAACCTCTAATTTCAAATAATTTAAGGTGCTATTTTAAAAAACAAGTCTTTGACAGGCAGATCCAATCAAAGTTTAATTAAATAAACTCCTGCAGAGATGATAGAAACAAACAGTGGAAACACTGTATTTTTATCCCATTAGACTGACTGCTTTTATTGCCATGACAACCCTGATAAAAGTAAGTTATTATAATCATTTAAATTAATTTCAAACCCTTGCCTTAGACAGATAAAACCAGTGTATAGGCCACAGGTTCTGAAACTTAATGCAGTTTCTATATAAAATCAAAAATCTAAAATAATAATTAGTAAGATAATCCCTTCTACTGCTCTATGATACTTAATAAGTACACATTTGAGACTAAAGCTACTTACTCTTTAGGGTAAAGTGTAGAAGGATCTTAAACTTACATTAGTTTCTTTTAATGCCTCAAAGTCAACAAATATTAAACAAATAAAGTGTCTCTCCGAGCAAATACAAAACAAGAGAAAATTAAGTGGAGCCAGAAATTGTTGCAAAGCATAAAGAAAAGGAAAACTCAGAGTAAACCTGAAGTTATGCTTCAGTTATGCCGATATGATAAAGCTTTTATAATACATACTGCACCAGCTTTAGCTTTGTGTGAAAAATGGAAAAAGTATCCGTCTTTGTACTCAATGAAATTCCTGAAGCTAGGACACTTTCTTTCAAAGCTTTCCATAAAGATGTAAAAGTTAAACTTTATTTACCTTAAAAAGCACCATAATAACACAGTTTATAATAATATATCAGTTTTTTTTTTATTGAAATTTATTGCAAATATTAAATTTTTTTTTTTAAAGTTTATCTATATGTCAGTTATCTTAAAGCATTTCTGTAATAAAAGAGTAAAATAGACCTTTTTTGAAAATCAATAATTAATGTTTACTATAACAAAAGACCAAAGTCTAAAAAACACATTAAAAAATGATTTAAGTCGAACAAATTTAAGTGTCACATGTATTTCATTGGTTTCACATGTTCTACAACAGAATTGGAATTGAGCACTACCCTAACTTGTCAAAAATAATCATGCTCAGGATTTTTCTTTTCTCTTCTATTTTCTTCTAACACAGCAATCAGATGCTTTTTGCATGAATTTTCTGGACATTCTTCTCTGCTCCAGCACAGGGTTTAACTAGGATTCACAGACCTGCTGCAGCACTTCCAATGAAACCTGTTAACTTCACTAAAGCCGGGGATATACTTTGTGATTTTTTTAATCGTTTCACGCAGCCACAGCTCACAGCTCACGATGTATGTTCTCATACTGTACGTCTAAGCCCTAAAAAAAACGGTGACGACTGTGACGGTCTTATTTTCGGTTTAACTTTGATCCGTGTGTTTCATTGGTTTACTTCCATATATTTTAGAACTAATTTTTTCTTTATTGTCCTCTATTGCCCTCTTGTGTTTGTTCCTTTTCCCTTGGCTTCCTCGTTATCTCCACTCACACCTGCTCCTTATCAGCTCGTTAGCCCTGCCTTTGTTCAGTCAGCCACATATACTGTCCTTCTGCTGTCACTCTTTGCTGGTTCCTTGTCGCTGGTTGTCTTCTTACCTCGTCTCTCCCTGGCTCCTTGTGCTCGTTTTACCCTGATGTGTCCATTGTTTTCGGTTTGTTAACATTTTTAGTTGGATTTTTGGATTGCTGCCTCTGTTACCTGTCTTTTTCAATTGAACTGCAATAATTCACCTTAGCCTCTCTGCCTCTGCATTTGGGTCCTCAAACCACAACCAAATCCTGACGGCGACAAGTTGTCAGGATTTTGAAATTTGTACAATTTTGTGCTGAAAGCCCTAAAAACAAAGGGTGACGTATTTGGACAAAAACATGGCTGAGCAAACGTGGCTACTGCAGTCTGATAGTTTTACAGAGAGAACTCCATTTCACTCACATCCCCGCAATGATTTTGTTTTCATCTGAGAGGAAGAAGAAGAATCCTTGTTTGCGCATGCCCCCTCAGCGATTTGCCCACAACAGCATACCAAAAATCAGACATGTTTGATTTTCTCTCGACCTCACAATTCCTGATCAGGAGATGGTCGTGAGATGCTGATTGCCCCACGACGCACGACCAGGCTGAAAGTCAGCCCCATCGAAAAATTCTCGCACAACCGGAAAGTCGGCCTGAAAAGGGCAAAAAAATCGTACAGTGTATACCCGGCTTAAGTCAAAAGACAGCCAGAAAAAATTTACAGAAAAAACGTTCACATTTTAAAACAGGGGGCTGCTTGCTTCCTCAACACTTTTATTTTACTCAATAAACTGGCTGATAAAATATTTTATATTTATTTCTAGTCATTAGTGTACAGAAAAAAAAAAACTTACTGAAACACAAGTTTTAAAACTCAACACTCTGCATTAATTGCTATAATTGTTACTGAT